AGTTATCCCGGACAAAGATGGCCAGATGTAATAAAGTGCTATTACCTGCGACACTTTACTACCTCAGTAAAACGCCGTTAAGCGCTTTAGTGTCTTGAAGCAATGTAGCCTGGACGGCGCTTGCAGAAAATTGACACCATAGTAATGGTAATTGGAGAAGGTTAAAACATTTGGGCGCTGTTGAATAGCTAATGATGGCCGGGAAATGGGTGTAAAAGATAATACAATAGTTATTTCCTGACAAAAATTTTATTTTACTCATTGTTGTGTTGTACTACAAAGATTTTAGTAAATTTATTTTTATGTACGATAAAAACGTCAAATTTCCTGTACCTACTGCGTTATGGGGTGTTACAATCGTAACAAGGAATTACTCAAGAAATTGACAGCAAATTTGGAGTATATACATAGGTGAATATGGTAACAGAAAATTTATATTCCGTTGAGGTATACAAATTCTAGCGTAGGTATACCAATCAAAATACAATTTGCTCGAGTCCACCAAAAGTTCTTATCAATTAAAAAGTACTTGTACCAAATTTATGTTCTAAAACTGTACTTGTTGCCTCATTTACACCACCACTAAGATTACGTATACTTACTAAATTGTTCGGTTAAACTTTTAAATATACTGAGATATATTGAGAACTCACGTTATGCACACCAGTACACATTTGAATAGTCTTTGTCGGAATAACGTCAGTGAGAAAAACGGCTTTGGCTGGCTAGAAGTAAGTAACACCATCGTCAAACTATCACCGTTTTCGGAGCTATGCACTAAGATTCCATGTCGTCACTTGCACTCTGTAATGCACAATCAACAACGCTGTATTTGCCAGGAATAGTAAAGTAGCAACTTCATTATTAACTGTCGTAGTTGTGGACACAGTTGTAAAATTTTCGGAGTTATGCACTGAGATTCCATATTGTCACTTTCACTCTGTAATGCACAATCAACAACGCTGTATATTCAAGGAATAGTAAAGTAGCAACTTCATTATTAACTGTCGTAGGTGTGCACACAGTTGTCAAATTTTCGGAGTTATGCACTGAGATTCCATACTGTCAGATGCACTCTGTAATGCACAATCAACAACGCTGTATTTGCCAGGAATAGAAAGTAGCAACCTCATTATTAACTGTCGTAGTTGTGCACACAGCTGTCAAGTTTTCGGAGAAGCGATCATGGCAGCAGGAAGAGTACAGTAGAAGCGTCGCATTACCACATTACGATGATGGATGCCTCCACAGCCAATCTGATTTATCGTTCCCGCCTTTTAGGATAAAATATTTACACTCTTCCCGCGCAATTCGCAGCGGCTGTACATGATATGGAGTATACCACGAATTTAATCTCACCCATGAGAAACAAAGTTTCACACAAAACCAGTATGTTGTGGTTAGGGAAAGTTTAGAGGTGTCTGAAACGACCATGGATTATAATTTTAAATAGGTATATAATATTTAAACTCAAAATTAGCATCGATGAAGTTAGGGTGAACATTACAATCATCGTGGATAAAACCAGTATAATTCGATAGTAAAACTACCGGATTACTTTACACGTATAATTCAAACAAAGATACAAAGCAAAATTAATGTGCGCAAACCGGTTAAATTTTGCTTCACAGTACTTTACTGACATTCTCAAAAACTTCAACATAAAAATATCCAATCACTTTTTACAACCAAGGCCGCCATCAGATATTTCAAGTTTCAATGATGATTAACAAAGCAAAAAAGTGTACTTTAAATAATCAAATGATTGCAATATAAACATTTTAAACAAAATATTCAACGAAGTAAGCGATACTTGAAAGGAATACATCAATCCACGTTGCACATGTTTCCAAAATGAGTCGCCAAAACCAATCTGGACGAACCACATGTTGTGATTCCGTAAACAATAAAATGTAAAACCGGCGCAGGCAGACATCGGATATGCGGTCCTCATTATGTGCCGTAACATAACATAACAATGCGGAAAACATGGGAAGGGACGTCAGTGAGCCGCTCTGTAGTCTACAGCCTCTATTGTACTGGACCTAGGGTTGTATGGTGGAGTGGAGGTTATTTGGTGTAGAGGTTTGTTAAATTTTATCAGTACAGTTCACTTTCGTACTGTACCGGCTCACCCCTTGCTTTGCTGGATACGTTCCACGTACAGATCTGTAGTCTATGTGGACGAGCAAATGCAAGGTTGAAAGAGGCCGCCAACCTCTTTTATAGGAAAGAAATATATATATGGGGTCATACATAAATAACATTTATAAGCAAATAATTGGAAAATGCACTGATAAAAACACACATCAGTACTTTTTAGTTGACATCAAAGTTCGGAAATATTTCTCACCATAATAAAAACCCATAATAAATACAAAGCATATGTTGAATACTAATTAAAAAAAAATTTGTTCCATCTGATTTATAGCGAACGTTTCCTTTTTCAGTAAGATATACAGCTGATGTTTTCTTCATCACGATACATATCGGATATATTTAAATTCAATAGCGGATGTATCCAAATTCATACAACTTATAACAGATGTATCTTAGTTCAATGAGTTGTAGCGGATGTATCCTAGTTCAATATGATTTATAACGGATATATCCTAGTTCAATATTATTCATAGCGGATATATCGTAGTTCAATATTATTCATAGCGGATGTATCCTAGTTCAATATGATTCATAGCGGATGTATCCTAGTTCAATATGATTTATAGTGGATGGATCCTTATTCAATACGATTTATAGTGGATGGATCCTTGTTCAATACGATTTGTAGCAAAATTGTCCTTATTTTAAACCATATGCAGCCATTGTTACTTTGTTCAATACCGGTGAATATTCAATGTTAAATATCGAGACCACACCATTTCACAAACCCTCCCCTGTACGACTGTACTTGTAATTGATGAATTCCTCAAATTACGCATATTGCGCAAATCCATATCATCAACGTTTCATTGAACACCATACATCGCTGTATTGTAGCGTCTGTATTGTGCAATACCGAGTATTGCGGGTGTATTGTCGCCACAAACGTGTGCCGAGTCTTTGTTATCTTCACGCCCGCTACACACAACCTCATCCTTATCACAAACTCTGCAAGCTTTGTTTCACAATGTTATTTAAACATCGCATTTGTCCGGGTGCTTAGTCGTGTATAGGGTAAGGTTGTCTCGTGTGTAATGTGTCTCTATTTTTGTTCAAATTTAATATATCTATGATTATTACGTATATTAGTTATTTGAAATGCGTTGGGAATAGCAAGATAAATGTGGAAATACATATAAAAGTAAGACGTACTCAAACAGAATATTATCAAAGAGTTTAAGTTTAAATTTTTCAGTTTCAGTTGTAGCGGAAACTCATGCAAGTATTACGGTTCCGCCAAAACCTTTTCTTGACCTCAATGTTATTAAGAATTCTAGAATTCTATAACCAATGCTGTAAGGTAAAAATAAAGATAAAATGTTTAGTTCTACCCACGTAAAAGTAAAGTTCTTTAGGCGAAAATTTGTTTTAACCTGAAACAATAATTATTTACAGATTAAAACAAAAATAATCTTGTGTATATTAGATTACTTCAGAACAAAATATACAGAAAATTCTAAATATTACGGTCTTACCCTATAACCAATCTCTTTCGAACCCATAAAAAATCTAACAACATAAATAAGTTAATTGATTTCTTCGACAAACCTGTCACTGGAAAAATACGCAGCCTTAATAAAATTATAATTAGGTGGGTCGGGGTGGAACGGAATTTCCTTGAAAGACAGGGGGGGGGGCAATAGTGATTAAATAAGGATTTCTCTTCGAGACACCTGCCACCAGCAAGGCGAGTGTTTGACTGAGGAGAAAAGGCGCTCCGTGGAGAAAACCTTATTTTGAAAAAGAGGAAACAAAATAGATGAGTGAAGCGGGTTAATTAATAAGTTTAACTGAAGCGACAACTAAAAATAATTTGGTTATAATCTTCACTTTATTAGTTTTCAGTATTTAAATGTGTCACAGAGCAAAACTGGCTTCCATATTCCCCAGTTAAATTTCCAAAGGGTAGGATTTTTATACCTAATTCTATAGTTACAATATGGTAAGGGTTTACATCACCTCCAAGAGAGCAGACCGTTTAATTACTTCATTTTTAGTGGGCCTTTTCAATTCATGTTATTTTAATTATTCTAGATCGGCTATATAATACCAAAATAGATCACAGAGATCGTTAAGTTTATAAATAGGACCTAAAACATAAAAAGCATCAACTAAAAACTAACAAATTACGATGCTCTTGCAGTAATTTTCCGAGTTCTTAATTATGATCCACTATATTTATATCACTTAGATTGTGTGTCACGTCACAAATGCTTCATGGAAGAAAACAATTATCGCAGCTCATTCACATGATCGGTTATTATCAGCATTAACGCCGTCAGTGACACCCTGCCTCTCCATGTAGCCTGTCATGACAGCCTGCTTCTCCATTTAGCCTATCGCGGGGGCGGACACGAGATTAACACTGATAATAACTCTGTTTGATGCACTCATTTCAAACTGTCAAACTTGGTTGATTTTCTATCTACGATGATAGATTACGAGGTATAAATAAGCTTCTGAGCACAAGTTTACCGGCTTGAAAATCGTGAAAATTATTCAGACTCAACGTCTAGCACTGCAGCTAAGTAACGTAAGCATTGGGTGTTGACAGATCCTAGAATACTACTTAAAAGTAAAACAAAATCAAGTAGGTAGGTTGTGGAGACTAAATGTTTTTTAACGTCTGTTAAGCGAGTTCCAAAATCATCCCGTTGACTTGAACATCAATAACATGAATATAAGTTTTTACGCCCAATCAACAACGTTGTATCATTACTTAATTTTCGAACCAGCATAAGACCAAGTTGGTTTGACAATCATTGCATCAAGTTATGTATAAGGAAAATAAGTAAACTTCACAGATACGTTGTTGTTACTCACTACTTTTTTGTCAACAGAGAGCCAGTGCGGGAGCAGGAGCAGGAGCACGCTGCAGACAGCAGCGAAGGTAGTTCAAAGTCTGCAGAGGACACTAGAAAGACGACGTCACAAGACAAACCTCGACTGACCCGTCGCAGCGGCCACCGTCGTCGCCGACGAGCCTCTACCATAGGGGAGAGTTGTGTACGTCCTACAGTGACACGATCAGCACTGGAGCGACGACGAGTGTCCAGCTACCACGAGCCATCCAGCAAGTGGACCACCAGCGAGTCATCCAGCGCCGAGGAGCAGAAGAACGACGACGCTCCGCCAGAGATTGTCAACACGTGCAGAAAACACAGCGGCGTCAGCGAAAAAGACATCGGCTACACACTGCTGGAGGGTGACGCCAAACTGTTGGAGAAAACCGAACCGAACGAAGACAAACAGAAAGACGATCCCTTGTCACTTCTACCTCCGCCGTGTACGTGTCCCTACTTCGGCGACTCCGAGAAGAAGAATAATCGTCCCACTACGGAAGTAGTTATAATAACCACGACGGACGAAACATCTTCCCCGCTGGTGGCGAAACCTCCTTTCCCTAGAAGAAACCAGAACTACAAGTTAGATACTGACTCCATATCCAGCACGGACACTCGCAGTTTGAGTTCCTCCCTCAAGTCACCGGCGAGACTAAGCTCTAGAAGGGCGCGGTCGTCCCTGACTAGCGAGAGCAGTGGTACAGTAGTGACGTGGGAATCCACCCCGCGACGTCACCGAAGAGGAAGCTTCAGCTCCGGAGGGACTGTCAGGACCATGGTGCTCTCGGCCAAGGGCAACGACATGCCCAAGGCGCCTATCCTGCGACGCTCTGCCACGCTGCGAGTGCCCAGAAGAGACGTCGTCACTGGCAAAGCGGACCCCGAGTCAGGAATATTGTACAGGTAATAAATAGTCAAGACCTTTTACCACTCAATCACTTTAGTAGGGGCTGGAGGGTGTAGGGCCCACTCAATGTCATTTATTGATTTTTATGACGTGATCTGAATGATTTATGACATAGGATGGAAGGCGTTATGAGGTGTGACACAATAGGATACATGACGTCATGAGTTGTATCAACCTTGTATTTTTACCTAGATAACCAACATTTAAATCAAGGAAAGGGCTTACAGTGGGAAGTAGGGAGAGCAATTTAGCAAGTAGGGAGTTTGATTGTTCTTCAATTTTCCCTAAAAGAAGTAAAATAGTGAATAAAGTAGTAATACAGTTAATAAGAAAATGGAATGTTCTCGATGTGTTAAAATGTTTTAGATTTTAAGATACTCTAGCATAAAAAAATCACCTAACAACGCATCACAATGTTTTCTATTATAGCTATTGTCAAGCGGTTGTTGAAAGGAATTCAGAACACTGAATGTGTACTGTTGATGAGATATATGATCTTTTGAAGAGCAGGTTGGTGAACATTGTTTAGTTCTGTTGTAAATTAAACAGTTGAATCGAAAATCTTTATACTCTCTTATAGCTTATTTATTAAATCTCCCGGATAACCTCTAGTTTCCCTGTGCAGGTACGGCTCAACCCCAGGGATCGCCCGCGGAGGCACCGTCCGCACCCACCACTCCCGCAACTCCAGCGTCATGTCCCGCACCTCGTCACGCCACGGCCGCATCATCCGTCTGGAGCAGAAGGCCACCAAGGTGCTGGGAGTAGTCTTCTTCACCTTCGTCATCCTCTGGGCTCCCTTCTTCGTCCTCAACCTGCTACCATCGCTCTGCTCCGAGTGCGAACAAAAGATCGACCAGGGAGTGTTCGACTTCGTCACGTGGCTCGGCTACGCCAGTTCCATGGTCAATCCGATATTCTACACTATATTCAACAAGGTGTTCCGCCAAGCTTTCAAAAAGGTGTTGCTCTGCAAATACCACCGCAAGGGGAGCTGGAAGCCGGGCAAAGCAAAGCTATAGACTGATAGTTTCCGAGCTTCTAACCAATCGATCACATGTAAGAGAAACACCACAAATGTAATCAAACTGAGCTCTGTTTTGTTTCGGTTTTATCTAGCAATATTGTAGTTTTTTTTTAGTGATGACTTAAATACACTACTGCGTTGTTTTTACATATTGCAAGAACTTCAAATAAGTATGCTATATCCAGATCCCACACATTTAGTAAATTCAGAGTATTTTGACTAACGAAGATTACGTTTGCAAAGGTAAAACCTCAAATAACACCTAACTAATAATTTTAAATTACGTGGAATGAGTAAATTATTAATTAAATAAAACCATAAAATATAGTTAAGGTGGCTACACAAAAATGTGAACTTTGGTCACAGTCGAGAAGCTGATAGACAGATGATACGAAACTTTACCAAACAAATAAGTCTATCTGGTCTGATAGTAAACATGTCCAGCTATCGTTTCTAACCGCAGTTTAAAATTACAAAATCGTTATTCCCGTAAAGTTTCTGGATACATATATTCCTTTAAAAACCTTTAGAAAGCATGTTTATCCTAAATTAATTTAAACATATGGAAGATTTATTTTTGATGTTTTTCGTATTGCATATATTTGTTCAAAACCCTTTTAAAAACTCGAGCCTCTAAAATTAATTTGAACTCTGATGTAATTTGAGTAAAGCCTACCTGTGCATCCAAACACAAAAGTATCCATTGATGTTTTACTTAAATTAAAAATTATCATTGTTATAATTTAAAAATTAACGTTTAGACTACTATAGAAAAGAAGAAACTTGTATAGTACCTTAAGTTTATTTTATCAGGCTCTAACAATCCTATAGGCCTACTTTGAATTATTGTCGATTATTTAGGAATTGCTGTACCTTTTATTCCAATAAAAGATATTTTCACGGAAGTTACGTTAATAAGCTAATTTGTGTCTTGGTCTAATAAGGTCTTACCTTGTAATTACAAAGGCCTATTATATACAGCGAAATGAAAAATTAAGAATATCAATGAATATTGTTTTTGTATTTGTATTTTATAAAAGTAATTATATTCCATTTGTGATCATTTTACACGAAATAAGTTCCCGAATAGCAAGTACTGTAGTACCGGAGATATTTTTATACAAGATTTTGGCACTCTTTTAACCGTAGATATATTATTTTAGTTACTTTTAGAGAGAGGCATTTTTACTGATAGAACTTATATGACGAAGAACAAACGCTTTCGTAAGCACACAGTGTATAAGTGTTTAGAAACAGTATACGTGTAAATTATGTAAAAACTTGTGTAAATAAAATGTATCTTGGCACAAAATCGTATATGTACATAACACAGAATATATTGTGATACATTATAGATTTAGTATGTGTATTATGTGAATAAGAGGACCTCTACGTTTGTTGGAAGTAAATTATCTTAATCTTGATTAGTTTTATTTGCCCTTTGGTCAATTTTCTTTATATTATACTAATCTGTTTATTTTTCCTATTTGATCCAATCACAGAAAGGTAGTTATAATTATTTTTAATTGTTGTAGTAGCTTTACTCATGTTTTAATTACTGCATTATAACTTCGTAAAACCGTTAGCTCAGTTTTTACAACAATTGTTGTTTTTATTCGTATAGAAATTTAAATATTTTACCCTCATCATAATGTGGATGAAAACTTAAAAATAATTCATTACAAAAAAAATTTAAAATTTAAAAATACAAAGGGGAAATAATAAACACAATCAACCACTACTAGAAAAATATAGCATCTTGGTTTAGACCTTCTTTTAAATATTACTATACAAAGACTTTATTTTTTACTTTATAAATAAATTGCAGGATCTGCTGGTTTCGATGCGAATAGCGGACTCAATTCCTGGCATTGTCCCGGCCCATTACTCTTCAATAAACAATAGTGTCGCGGCCAACTTTGACCGGGGAAAACCGGGAATATTTCAGTGCGGAAAAGGTACAATTTATTGAACTAGAATGCCACTGAGCTACAGTAAAAAGGGCCTGAGATATATTTCTCTGAAAAATTTAGATGGTTTACAGTAAGACAACAAAATATATAGTGAAAAAGATGAATTTATAAAAAAATAAGTATCATTACAAAATTATCAAATGCATAGCGAAATAAAATACAATTAAGTTACATGTAAATACATAGAGCGTTTGTCTACATATCGTGCGTCTATTGTTCCCGTAGCTAAAGAAAGTCAAAGAAACGACTGTATTAAACCTATAGTACATAAACATTAACCAAACAAAATTTCAAGCCACTGATAAAAACACTTGAATCAGTTTTACCCCACAACATCCTGGAAGGTTACAAATAGTTTTTAAATATGAAATTTAAAATCCCAAACTAATTGTTTAGAACTGTTATAGTTTATTAGGAAACATGCCAAATTTAACAACAATTTTAAGTTTGATAAAACCATGATAAAATTAACTACATAAAACTCTGATATAAAACCCCTTGAAACAGATTTACTTCAAAATTAATCATCTAACGGCAAAATAGTTCCCAAAATTAATAAATTCAACTTTTAATTCTTAGGAAGATTTCCCTTACAAAGATTTTATAGTTGTTATACTCACAATTTAAATATTCACATTGAAAACAAAAAATTCAATTGCCATGAAAATCACCATAAAAATAATTGGATTTAAAAATTACTTTAAATTTTAATTTTAATTCCTCTAAATCTGTACTAAGTTCTTAGCACTTTCAAGCGATTACGTAAGGATTAAGGACATTAAAAGTTAGTTGGCTTAGCGCGTAAGACGCGCCAACTCCAAGTTGCGCCGCACTTAATGGACTTTTGATGTTCAGGACTCGACAACCCCAAACCCTCATATCCAGCCAACGCTTGGTGTTAACACGTCGAAAACACCTTTCTGGGCATAATGACATTCTTCACTGTCATTAATGCCTGGTCGTAGTATGAGTCGACAATGGGAAGCATTTAAAAAATGTTATTAAAAATATCAACGGAGATGGCAGATTAGCGAGTATAATAGAATCATCGACTATGACTTAGTGGTGCTAGTAGGCCTAGTGTACATCACATTTTATTGTAAAACCTGAATTATATTTTACGCCACACCACACTGTTTTGCCGAACTTCCCACGCAAGGATTTAGTCCAGAAAACAGCTGTTTGCCATCAGCTTAATCAAATGGGGTTTCATTACGTACTGTAATGAGTTTTTCACCACACTATGATGTTTTTGGCTGTATTACATACGTTAATTGGTGGCTGAAAGTTACGTTTTGCTGGCCATGCCAGCTGTCATTGTAATTTGGGGACCGAGCAGGTTTTTACAGGCCGGGGCCGCAAAATCAGCTGTCCGCTTACTTACTTAAAACATGAATGCATTTTAAATACACAATCAAAATCCATAGCATTGCAATAGGATTGTGTTATTGTCACCGTTGCCTAGCAACTATTTATTTTTATTTTGCTGATCCTCAAATTATTTCTTCACATAACCCTAAAGTTGTAGTTGTGTTGACTATCAGTGTGCATTATTGTAGTGGCGAATAGTGGTATAGTGTGGTGAAAAATAGCGTTCATACCATGGACCGAAATGGTTAGCAGCTCTCGATCGATTTAAGTTCTCGACTTCGTCTCGAACTTAAAAACTATCTCGAGCCGGCAAAACCTCATTTTCGGCCCTAGGTACGAAATATACCATTACCGGACACCAACCAGCTAATTATATAGTGTATCTTGGTAATGAGTGAGAGTGGTTAGTTTATAAAAAAAACATTACCTCTCTTAGAGGTTATCTAGAGGTTAGATTAGGTTAGAGGTTAGTGATTGTTAGTCCTTTAGTCTGTGGTAATATTATAATTAAGGATTAGTACGGATTTAGTAGTATAGCGTAAAATATCGTACGTCACTCGTCCAAAATGTGTTTACCGGACTAGTAACGCAATACTGTATACTATTACGTGTGATGTTGGAAACGTTAGTTCACTGGTGTCAAATAAATATTTTAATTTTTTGGGGTAAATTTTTCGATTTCTGCTTTGTTGTAAAATTAGAGGGCGGGTTATGTTTTTAAGTAAATAGTTTTATGAGGTTAAAATTGTTTTAAAAAATTTTAAACTTTGTCAATGTGTACCCATAGAGAAAAACGCCCTCTGCATGAACCAAACAGAACTAAATTTAAATTATCTTCAGGATGATAAATCCACAAGGGATCATGTATAATCTACGACCGAAACTTTTAGATATGAAAAAGTAATATTATCTACAAATATTTATTGTAGAATGGGTTGGGAGTTTCCTTAGCATTTCCGTTGGTAGTTAGGGGTGATAAAGTAGACATGGCAAGTGTGTAATTTTTAATTATCTGGTCGAGTAATTTTAATCTAGTTTGTTCTTTTCATTTAATGCACAATTTAAGAACTAAGAAACTACAAGGCAGCCCTTCCTTAGTTTAATAATATCATAAAAAAATCTAAGCATACTGTTAGAAAGTATTTTCCTGTAGATGTGCAGAATCCCTTTATAAATTAAAATAGGCTCAAAAATAAACACAATAAATTAATTTTAAAATTTAAAAAAAATAACATTAATTCGATGGGTTGCCATGCTGGTGACGAAATAACAACGAAATATAAAAAAAATCTAAACAAATGGAAGAAATTCCAATCACGTGCTTTATTTACAGCGTGGGGGTGAAAATGGAGAAATCTGTACATTATGTAATTTTTGCTCGAGTTTTCTATCACTGCCCGACCTCTAGTACATATTGACTTGTCCGTTTATTATTTAAATAATTATACTTTTCATTGTTTTTAGGATTCAATCTAAAAAAATTAAATGCTAACAGCCTTACAGTTTTGCAAATATTGTTCGAACTTTTGTTCAAAAATTATATTTGCACTACAATATAAGAAAAGAATTATAGAGAAAAACAATTATATTAACATCATATCTTTTGGGGAGAAAGCAGAGAACAGTTATCAGTGAGAGGGCAACCCGTTTTTACTCGGACTGGGCTACAGTAAAATTTGGCGTCCCTCAAGGATCCATTTTAGGACCCATACTCTTTCTTATATATATATAAATGACCTACCAGCACCTATTTCCAAAAGGTTCGTACTATTTGCTGATGATACATGTGTAATAGTTCAGGGAAAAACCTGTCTGCATTAGAAAACACTTTGAAATGAACACTAAAAGATCTGAAAATTCTGACTTTTACTAAATGAATATAAATCTAACATTATGCAATTCCACATCAGAATTAACAATAACCACAAACTCAATGGAACGGATTTAATATCACTGATAAGTTTAAATTTCTTGGGATTAATATAGATCAAAGTTTCAATTGGAAATCACACATTCAGTATTTGGTTAGTAAGTTGACTTCTTTTAGGTTTGCAATGAAATGTATTCAAAATTCAGTGTCACTAGCAACATTAAAAATTATTT